GAATATATTATATCAAATATATTGCTAGTACTGCAGAGCTAGTTAACCTTGAAGCAAATCTACTAGAGTAGTCCATACCTAATTTACAGATTCATCTAGTTTAGACCTTTGTAGATATTCATACAAACCTAGGTTCTATTATAGTCCTCTACTAGTTAGTTGACCTAGTCCTTTTCTAGTATCTAGCTAGTCCCAGTTATCTTTTGCTTGGAGATCTCGAAACCTTCTACCTTTATTAGACTGAGTTTTCTTCTCAGATCAGACTTTAGCTGATATAGTCCTGTCAGAAGGCCGTACTACTTCACTGACTCAGGATTTCTACCATGCAGGTCCTCTGCTCATATATCCTATCAAGATTTATTTGTATAATATTACACTATACTTCCAAGTTCTGATTGATTTGGTACAACTCAATTTACAGAAGTACACCCCAGAAACAGATAGGGTTTACTATAATGTATTACAAGATCTGAGAAATTATTCAAATTCGTTGACAGTAGGATTTAAACTCTAGACCTATTGCATGGTGGTCTGACAACCTAACTACTATACTAGGTCACCAGACCTTCAGGTATAACAATTTTATGAAGATATCTGAATAGAAAAAAGACAGAAATCGCTAATAATTATTCGTCTCTAATAGAATTATATCTGAAAAATAATAAATATAATGTATTAGCATTAAATATTGATGATTATCATAATATTCATGCTAAATAGATATCTAATACTTGTTTAACATCAACTGTGGCTTATATGATGACTTTGCTATTAAATCGTATTGATATAACAGCTATTCTACAAATGATATTAAACAGTACATCAATCTATAATCTAAAATTAATTGATCCTGATCTTATTTGCAATATTTTAGGTTATTATTATATAGAGCAAATAGCTAAAACTTTCAATAATCAGTTCTATTACAAAATATCTTTAGATGAAAAAGTTAAAAATTTGACACTTCACAACTATAATATCTATATAACTAAACAACAAGAAAAACATAAAATAAAAGATACAATTCTTTTAGATTTTTTTGAATTAAAGCTTGGAGATATGAATTCATATATTAGTGCTTTACAACATGTTTATGAAAATTCTTTATTAAATAATTATTTAACTAATTCTGTTATTTCTGTTATAGCTAATTAGCCTGAGCAAGTATTTATATAACAGGCAATCATACTTTATTTGCAAAACCATAGGGGTATTAATATACCAAATAATATTTTATTATTTATACCAGTTATTAGCGTTCTACACATCTAGCTAAACTTACTTGAATCAATATTAAAGACATATTAGAAATTTTTTAATATAGAATATAAGTATATTTTTAGTACAGAAAAGGAACTCAAGGTTTGGTGATCTTAGCGTAGTAGTTAGGTTGCCAGATTGCTATGCAAGAGGTCTAGAGTTCAAATCTTACTGTTGACGAATTTGAATAATTACTCAGATCTTTGTACCCAACTTACAATAAACTCTGTTCATTTCTGGAGTTGTAACCCTGTAAGTTAAGTTGCTCTAAGTCAATCGGACATTGGTAGTATAGCAGCAGTTAATCACAGAATAATATGTGCACACGAATAAATCTTAATAGGAAAAAATATTATGTGGTAGCAGTTAATTACAGGATGATATGCACATGAATGATCTACGAGCAGGAAACCTACATGGTAGAAATCCTGAGTTAGTGAAGTAGTACGGCTTTTAATAGTCACACTAGCTAATACTTAATCCAGAAAGGAAACTATTGTCAAAGATGCAGATTGAGTCGAGTACGTATAAATTCATTCCACAGGGAGGATCAGTAACACCAACCTGGCTTGGCAGCTAACTGAATTGGGAGGATCTGCTTCATGAAATATTCGAGACTATAGAATACAGAAAACTGGTGGAGAGCCATGATAGGAACTAGGGTTGTATGAACATCTACAAGAGTCTAAGCTAGGCGAGTTCATAAAATAGGCACAGGCTGCTCTAGTAGGTTTGCTTCGAAGTTAACTAGAGCTCTGCGGGCTCACAATATGTTGAGCAATAAGTATCCTAAGAAGACCTAAGCTGGTATCGAAAAATAGATCTGTAATAAGCTAGCTAGCTTAAGCGGTTAGGTGTTATAGTGATATTAGTTTGTAACAGTATGGGTTAGTTGAACAGAGTGTTTAAATAGGTAACTTACAGGTGGGTTACAGATATGGCAGTATAGTGTAGAACTAATCAGATGATCTATTACCTGTGTAGCGGACTACTTAAATTAGACAATGACTAAAGTTGTACAAGTGGCTTGTTGTACACTCTTCATATAATTACAAACTGTAGGGATTACCCTTGTGTAATCTCGTATATCAAACTAATAAAAATCGTCTAGCAATATAAGCAACCTTAAAAAAGAAAAATAAAAAAAAAAAAAGAAAAGGAACTTAGTTTAACTCCAAGTCTTTATCGAACCTTTTTACTTCTCAAGCAAGTTAAAAGTGCATAGAAAAATATCAAATCAATAATAACAGGTAAGTTTAGTAAGTGTTATAAGAACTTAGAATACTTATATCTTTTTGAATGATTAGATAACACAATACTAGTAGGTTTGAATATATATTTGATCTTGTTTCATTCAAGTAATTGGGAATCATATATCAAAAGTATATTACATGCATAGTATATTTTTTTGTAGTTTGAGAGACATAATTATAATAAGGCGCCTTTAGTATTTCTTTTAGATGAGTTTTATTGGGACCAAATTAATCATCCAATACTTAATATATTGAGAGATCATTTAGTCAAATTTATAGATTACTCAGTAGAAAATATGCATAGTATAATTCAACAGCAAACTTTATCTCACGATATACTAGAGCAACTTTCTAAAATAGCTAAAGTTATTTATACAAAGAAGGCTGATAATGTATTTAAAAATATCTTTGTTATCTAATTCAAATATACATATACAATTAAAAATTATTTAACTTTATTAACTAAGAAAGCAAAAGTATTTCTTCTTAGGGTATTTGAAAATATTTATCAAAAATTAAGCCAAAGTTTTATCAAGAATACACAAAACAATAAATTTACTCTGGTGTCATTAAATTTTGCTATAGATAAAAAGCAAATGCTATTAGCATTTAGCAATGATTACTTTCCATTTTCTAACATATGTGATTATTGTTATGAATAATTAGATGAGACAGGTAAAAGCTTCATGGTCATTGCATATGGTTACAGATACTATGAGAGCTGTTTTATTAATTCTTAAAATCAAAAAATATCATTATTGTGAAAAATTTTTTAATCTTGATATTCATAAAAATATTAATTTTCTTCTTATATGATTGAGTAAACTAGATTTAAGTTTGAATTTGGTAGAATCTCTTGAAGCTGATAAAACAAATAATCTAGAAAGTCAAATATTAGATAAGAATAATATATTAGAAAAGCTGAAAAAAATAAGGATGTATTACTATTAGTAAAGCAAGCTTATATCATAGCTCATGAGAAATTTTGTCTATAAATAAAATTTGTATACGAATAAATAAAAATAAATATTTTTAAATTAAAAAAAATAATGTGAATAAATAAAAATCAATATTTTTAAATTAAAAAATTAATGCGAATAAATAAAAATAAATATTTTTAAATTAAAAAAATAATGCTTGTTAAAAACTTGCTCAAATTAAACTATATTATTTTAAAAATTAGATTTAGCACTAAAAAATAAATTTAATAAATATGAATTTAGTTGTAAAAAAAATTTAATACGATCCTGGAATTGAGAAAGTAATGCTAGTATATGTAAATTACAACTAAGTTAACTGCTTTTTTGTGTCTTTAGTAGTCTCTAGTAATAAAAAAAATTAAGGTACTTTTCTAATAGTTACAAGACATAAATTTTGAATTTTTATTGAACAAGTTAGAACTAAGTTAGTACTGAGTCACAAATTTGAATTTGAAAAGTTTGTATAATAACAATTGTCCACTATGCTAAGTTCTCCCCTACAAAAGATTAGCACTGTTTACTCCTTCTATTTTCAGAAATACTCTGTAAATATGCAACCTCATGCAGTAAACAAAATCATATATTTTGTTTATTATTTAGTCTATAATATGACCTTGATACTATAGGTTTTAAATTTTCAAGATAAATTTTATATTAGAAAGAGAATTATTTGAGATAGGTTATAGGTTATACAACTTAAAATTTTTAAACCTAACTTAGATTATAAGATATTTGATTATCTTTTTTTCTTTTCTTATTTTTTGTTCTATATTAGTTTTCTTTACCTGTGACAGGTTTTTCTAGTATAAACTTTATTATAAACTGTAACCACTTAGGTTTATATAATTTTTATCTTTTTTATATCTTAAGACTAGGTACTAACTTTTCTTTACTTAATTTTGACTAAGTAGAGAGGGACCTAAGATCTTGATATATAGCTGAGAGTTGCTTTTGTTGATCAGATTCTAGATATCTATATATACAGACTAAGGTTTTCATGAGAAAATAGCTCCTATAGCAAATCAAACTTAGGCACCTTTGAGATAGCTAAGTTAGTTCAAAATAGTCTAGAGAAAACAAATTAGTATAGTTTTTTATATTAGATTGTTTTGTAGTTTATTATAAATTTTCTCTTAATAAAATAATAGACAAGATTACTTAAGATATAAAAAAAAGTAAAAAAAGAAATTGAAGAGTAATTTAAGGAAGAAGAAGCTTAAAATATGAAGTTATTAGAAAAAACTAAGAAGTTGAAGAAGAATATAATAGAAAAATTAGAAAAGCAAGTAGAGGAGATATTTATAGATATTGATGAAGAGAAAGTAGAATTAGAAAGTAATTTAAAATTAGTAAGTAGAGAAATTAGAAGATTAGAACAAGAAAATAAAGAATTAAAAAAGTAATAAAATAAGTAGTTCAGGATATAAGAGGTTATTAAGAGAAAAGATAGAGAAATTAAAAAATAATTTTTTTTTTTTTTTTTTAGTGATCTTACTTATCATTTTATTAAAGAAAAGCTTACATATACTACAAAGTAAATTACTATCTAAAATATAATAAAATACCCTCCTTCAACTATTCTGAACTCATTTATCTGCTTTAAGGTACCCAAGTACAATCTGCTACAGCAACAATTTCTCTCACAGAAACTTTAGTCTGCAAGTACAGACTCTAGACCTCTAGTCTATGAGAAGCTACTATTAGCCTATATCAAAATCACCTTATTTTGTTTTAATTTTTAACTATTCTTCTTTTTTTTCTGTTCTTGCTCATGTGTTAACCCTTTCTAATAAGTCTTTCTGTATTCTCTTTTTTTTTTCTTTTATTCTTTCTTTTTCTATATCACTAGGTTAGGTATTTTCTTTGTTTTTATTTTCCTTTTTGCTTTGTTTTTCTTCTTTTTGTCTTTAATTATGATTTGGTTCTCTTTTTTTATTCAATCATAACTTTGTACTAGAATTTTTACAGACATTCAAAAAAATACTTCTGAAAGTATTTTACAAAGCTGACCAAGATTCTGCTTATCTTCTTTCTTAACTGGGCTACTTTGCTTAAGCTTATAAGTTGCTTAATACTTATGAGTCCTCTTAGATATATCTTTTTGTTTTTCATTTTTTCTTCTAATTCTATATTATAAATTGCTTCTTTAAAAGAAATCTCACTTAATATTAGATCTAATTTTATTGAAGCTTCTAGACCTGTTAGCTATATAACTTCTTTTTCGAGTTTTTTTCAAATTTCTTAATAGATTTCATATTCTGCTAAGTGATAGAAAGTTTTGTCTTCTCAGAAACATACTATACATCTTTAACTTTTGTAAAGCTTAGAATTCCTTTAAAAGCAGATATCTTTTGTAAGTAGAATTTTATTAATACATTTTATATAAAACATGAGAGACTTGCTCTTTTTTAGGCTAATATATTTTTTGCCTTGTATTTCTTTAAACAAGTCTCATATAATTTTCCAATTCAACTCTGTATCAAAATTAGAATTCTGATTATGAGCTATGATTTCTGCTATTTTATTTAGATTTGCTTATTCTGTTTTATATACTATTGCTGTAATAATATTTATAAAAGATCTTAAAGGTCTTTCAATTACTTGACTTTTCTATTTAGGTATAGCTATTATATTACTAGATATTGTCTCCGATATGTTGAAA